AAGCTTTGCAATGTGTGAATCCACAGTGTAAATGTCTCTGGATACACAGTGAATTAACAAAATCTTTCAGTTTTTTCGTAATAACCATGCCTCAATCGCAATCTAGTTGGGATCGGCTATAGGGATCCCTTTGTGCCATTCCATGCAATCATAGATCAAACCTCCTCAATATCAAGAGATCTTGAATTCTTTTGCTCTATGAGAACCAAGATACTCATGCTAAGTATCAGAAAATCATAAGGAACTTCAGTATAAATAGATCAACAGATGACCACACAACATTTTTAACAATGCTTAACTACTTACGTTTGCTTATTTCTTGTAGTCACTGTAGAAATTGGTATCTGCAGAAAGGATAGCTGTTAAAGGAATTTCACAATATTTACTCAAAAAGAATGAAAGAAGGTTTCTTAACCAACAGTCCAGTTATAGGTAGCACAGCCAACTCCTTGAGACCCCTTGACGCAGACCTCAAATGTATATGATTCCCATTTTGCAAGCCCTGGTAGGAAACCTTACTAGCTCCACAATCAGATTGAGAGCCAGCTGCATGCATGTTATTCAATTACAATAAGTTAACAGAGAATGAAGAAGAAAAGTTTCAATGAATGAACCAACAGTGACAATAAACCAGAAAATAGAAAGGAAACCGGATTTTCAAACATTTTCTCCAGATTCATTTTCTAGGGATGAGTTTTGTTGATATAAAACTCAAATGTAGCTATGTTCAAGTGTGAGAATGCATGGGGAGCCATCAAGAACTTCACAGATACCTCTCCATCATCACAGAGAGCTCTAAAGCACAGAGATGAAAGAACCCAACACAGCAAAACCAACCATGAAAGCTTGGGCCAACCCATTTCTGTAAAGAGTCTAAATTGATGACTGAACCATGTAGAGGCTAAAATCTACAAGACAATGAGAGACATTTGTGGTGTTTAGAACAGTCTTAAATTAAAGATCAGAAACGGGTTTTGCAGGGAAATAAGACTGAAAAAATTAATGCGGTACAGAAGGATTAGAAGAAATAATGGAAGTAAGAGAATGGATTAGAATTTCTATATGAAGTAATTTCAAATCTTATCAGGGACTGAAAATTTTCAAGACTAGCCTGAGGCTGCGGCTGCGGTGCAACCTCAACTTCTTCTGAAGGGGCTGAGTTGGCACCGCAACAAAATATGTTGTTTGCATTGCTGGCAGATTTGAACCACCAACACAAACCTTATAGGTTTTTCTGATGCGACTCAAACAAGCTACCGTCCTTGTCCAACAATCTGTTCTTATTCAAAGATCAACCTCAGAAACAGTCTCTCATCCTCTCTGTCTTATGCCATGGTGAGCAATTTTCACTCTTTTCAAGCAGCAAATGCTAGAGCTACTATAACACATAGAGCAAGGATAGGCGGGGAATCACCCACAACCATAAAGAGGTACTAGGCTCATAGAAATTAATAACAATTTCAAGTGGTTCAATAAATCTAAAGTCACCACGTTGTTCCCATCTGTGCAAGCATTGATCATACTAGGACACTCTTTAAGAGATGCCTGGCTGAGGTCTTTTTTGAATAAACAATAAAAAAAATACTGGAACTATTGAGTTTTTATTGTAAGTTATTGAGCTAAGTTTTGGTTAAGATTTTATTTATTAAAAAAAAATTAAATTAAATAAATCTAATAAATATATCAAATTTAAATAATATAAACTTGATAGTCAACAGCTAAACCCAATATAATATGAGTTTAACAAACATTTTGTACCCAAAAAACTTAAACATTATCAAATTTTAAGACTATATATTTGATCCTGAATAATCATTTGCAATTTAAGTATAAAAAATATGATAAATCGTTATGTTTTTTCATTTAAAATAATTATTTATATTAAAAAATATTTGTTGTTTATTAATATCACTGAAATATCGCTGAAAGAATAAAACTTTTCAGTCTTTCTCTTCTCTGAATGTAAAAAATATTTCTCAGTCATTAATTTCACATATATATTTAACTGCATTAAAGTTGCTTAACAACACTACTATCTGGTATCCATATATGAAGAAGCCGATCATAAAAGGAACAGTAGCCACTACAGAGCTGTTTTGTTTGATCTTATGAGATAAATTCCCCCTCTGCCAATCTGCACCGTAAGCAAGTGAGCCATGCTTGGTATAGGTTTCCATCACTACTCCTTTCTCCTCATCAATCTTCACAACTGCAAAGCCATTGTGCATGCAAGCTGCTAAGACCATGCCTGGTACATATGGGTGGTGCTTGACTCTCCAAACCCCTCCCCTTAAACAAATTGAAGTTTCATTCACTGGTTTGGAAATTGATCTTACATCCCATAGCCTTAGATACTCATCATAACTACCGGAGAGTAAGATATTAGGATCCCCAGGACTCTTTGCAATGCAACAGACACCCATCACACCCATCTTATGTACTTTGGAATTCTGAAACATCAAATTGGAAGGACCATCCCTTAAATCCCAATAACTGAGTTTGCAATCATCCGAACCAGTGTATACCAAATGAGGTTGGTGAATGTCAAATGATACAGCCCATAGTTTAAAATTATATGCTTTCCACTCTTGAATTACATTTAACTGAGACTATGAAAAGGACACTACAGGGTTAATGGATTCCAGTCCACACAAAGACACATAGAGGAGTTTATTTTTTCACCAACTATCACTCTTAGAGATAGAGTTCCCTACATCAAGAATTAACAAAAAACTTCTAAGAACCAAGCAAACAGGACAACAAGAGCATAGATTTCATAGTCAAGTCACTAAATTTATAATTTCAGTCTATATAACAATTATTTTCCTACTTTGTCCAATTGCTAGGTTACATATCAATGTTAACCCTTCCCCTTTCTGAATCCCTCCTATCACAAGTACGAAAAAGATCTTATCCCGAGTTTTTTAAGGCAACACTAAAAGAGTTTATAAACTTACTAACTTAGTTGTCACCCATGATATTAACATGTAAGAAGGAAATATGAAGGACTACCATCATTTGTTTCCAAGAAAATGTGTTTTTAAGTACATGGAAAATTGTAAGATTAGCTATACACCAATAACATTATTCATGGGCAAAATTTCTTTTTTCACTTCATATTTTTCAATAATCAAAACTTGACTCATAAATACACGTGCACATGCCACACAACTTAAATTTTCAAAATCATAGTTCTTTTATCTCCATTAGAACAACACTCTAATCCATGAACTCTCAAGTAACTATCAGAATCAGCTTGCAAAGCATTGGACCCACATTCCCAACATCAAGACTCCACTTAATGTCAAAAATCCCCACAGTCTCCATGCGGTAAAACAACTCAAACCAACCCACATCAGGATTTACATTGAAAAGTGAAATGCTACCAGTTTGACTCGGCCTATCCCCCTCCTGCAAAGTGTAAGTTGCAGCTGCTAAAACATTATGATACAGCTCATGCGTACAAAACTCTACTGCATCAGCATTGCCATCTAGATAATATTGTGCCACTTCCATGCCTAGTTAAGAAAACCAGAAGAGTTGTTTAAAGCATTTGTAATATCATAAAAATGGTTGGGATATTATGTCAAACAGTTTGTGGACACAAAATTAAAGAGTCAAATTTTATAACCAAGACCGCAGTTTGGTTTAAGGATTTATGTTTATGCTTATCTGTGTGGTCGTGATTGTTAGAAATGGCATGTCAAGCAAATCTTGTTGAGTTCTACTCCTATATATGCAAAATAAATAAAAAAATAAAAAAATCTTCCTTGAAAGAGGAGATACCATAGGGTGATGTTTGTCGTAACTATAAGTTGATTTTTAGATGCTTCCATTATAAATTGAGGGATTGTGACTCCTTTTGTTTTGGTATTTGTATAAAATATTTAATTTGATCATTCTGTGAAAAATAAAGTTAACAGTGTGATAGTTTTCACACTTTAATATGTTTCGTTTGTTTTCACATTTTAATATGTTTTTTTAAGTACTTTTTAAATTGGTTTCATCTTGATATTTGCATTAATTATTTTTAACATATATATATATATATATTATTTTAATATATTTTTAAATAAAAACAACATTGTGTTGTCAAATACACACTAAACATCTAGTTTGATGTTTTTTAAGATGTGAAAGCTATGAATCTTATCTCTAATGATACCTAGTTGCCCACTAGAACATGAAAAATATTTCGATAAACACCACCTTTTATATATTCTGAAGGCTACCATCTCACTGCGAGGAGAAAAGAGAATTTGAAGTTTCGAGCAATGCTTGGAGCACAAGCCTACCCTCGCAATACCATATTGTCATTAATTCCCGAGTTAAAAAAAAATATGATAAAAACAAGCACTTGTAAAAAGCTTCATACCACAATTGACTTCATATATAATGTGTAATTGCATTTGGGTGGATATCATGTGCTCTATTTAATAAGTTTTTATTTATTTATTTTTATACTTGCTTAGTGTTTTATCCTAAGTTTAGTTTTGGTTAAATTGATTTGATTCAATGAGTTTTGGATTTCTGCAACTAAAATCAAAGCTAAATTGAATCAAATTGTATGTAATTATATGTAGATTAGGTAATACAATTCCTACTATTTTTACATAAATAATTTTAAATTAAAAATATATTAAAATAATAATTTTTTAATTTTTTAAATCAATATGAGGTAGACTTTAATAAGGAGTTTTTTTTTAGTATTTTTTTTTACTATATATCCAAAATTTAGTTTTGGTTAAACCGGTGTGGTTAGATTTCTAAACCATAACTAAAACTAAACTAGACTTAAATTATATATGTATTTAGTTATACAATATATTATATTCTCACATAACTATGTTTTAATTAAAAAATATATTAAGGTATTTTGACTTAGATTCTGGTGCCATTTCTGAAGAGATCTTCCTCTGATTCATTCATATGGCGGCAACCCAATCACTATCACAACCTGATCCAGATCGTCCCTCTGGTACTTCTCTACCTGCCCCACTTCTTATCTTCATCATAATTGTATACAGTTTTTATCTTTTTCCTTTTTGTTTTTAATTCAAAGTCTCCTTTTTGTTGTTGGGATGTTTTGATTTGATGGAGATTAAGTCATTTATAGGATGAATTGGTCGTGGATTGTTTGGTCATGTTCGTTTGAATATAAAAAGTCAATCTTTCTTTTTCTTTCTTTAGTTTTTGGAGGATCCTTGTCTTTTTGTACGCTGAGATGTTGTAAACATGCATGAGGTATTAAATTGCTTCGATCTGGGCTGTGCTGGGTGTTTCATTTTGAGATCTGAGATCTGGGTTGTGTGAGGTGACCTTAATTATTGCAACTTCTCCGTTTTGCTTGTCATGTATAGCTAATTATTCAGTGAAGTATTGTGAAGGGAGGTTCAGGAAGCTTAATTGATTTCTTGACATGGTTCTTTCTGGAATTATGAGCCAGTGGCATGAAAAGAAAAATGTTTGATATGCTTGAGAATTCAAGGTGATGTCTGTTTTTATGAGCTAACTTATTGTTGTCAAGCTGATATCTTTGACTGATCAAAGAATGGTTATAGTGTATAGAATGTGGTTACTAATGAGTGGTTGCTCATTGTTTTGTATTATGTATGGCGGTAGCCTGTTTAATTCTTGTGTCGGATAGATCTTACTGGTTTATTTTTTTTAAGTATTCACGTTCTTATATTTATCATATGTGCATAGGTGTGAATGTGTGGATTTGTGCGCACATATTCATAGCTTCAAGTTTTCGTATCTCCAATTTTAGCTTTGATTGGTCAATAAATTTGTAGTGCCTGTGTTTCTAAGACTCTACTAAGTCACTGAGCATACTGATCATGGATGCAGAAGAGAAACCTGCTGAATCAGATAACATGGAGGAGCGGGTAGTTATATATAAACTTCAATCCTCAGAACTTTTTTTTTTTCCTTTCCATACTCACAAGTTTAAAATAAGCCTTATTTGTAACTTCTTTTCAGACTCTATCAGCAAAAAATGAGACGTCAGTTTCTCCTAATTCCTCTCAGGATACAGCTCCTTTAGGTCATCCGAGGGATAACACAGGTCAATCTGAAGCTTTTGGTTCTCCTGGAGATCGCGCTGTCTATCCACCTAATATTTATGCCCCTCAGGCACAGGCGTTCTACTGCAGGGGTAAAATTTGACTGCGGTCTTGATTGTAAAATTTGACTCTTCAATTTTGTACCCACAAACTGTTTGATATAATATCCCAACCATTTTTATGATATTACAAATGCTTTAAACAACTCTTCTCGTTTTGTTGACTAGACATGGAAGTGGCACAGTGTTATCTAGATGGCAATGCAGACGCAGTAGAGTTTTGTACGCATGAGCCATATCACAATGTTTTAGCAGCTGCAACTTACACTTTGCAGGAAGGGGATAGGCCGAGTCGAACTGGTAGCATTTCACTTTTCGATGTAAATCCTGATATGGGTCGGTTTGAGTTGTTTTACCGCGTGGAGACTGTGGGGATTTTTGACATTAAGTGGAGTCCTGTTGTTGGGAATGTGGGTCCAATGCTTGCGCAAGCTGATGCTGATGGTTACTTGAGAGTTCATGGATTAGAATGTTGTTCTAATGGAGGTAAAAGAAATTTGATTTTGAAAATTTAAGTTGCATGGCATGTGCACGCGTATTTATAAGTGAAGTTTTGATTCTTGAAAAATATGGTTTGAAAAAAGGAATTTTGCCCATGAATAATGTTATTGGTGTATAGCTAATCCTACAATTTTCCATGTCCTTAAAAACACATTTTCTTAGAAACAAATGAAGGTGGTCCTTCTTATTTCCTTCTTACATGTTAATATTATGTGTGGCTGCTAAGTTAGTAAGTTTATAAACTCTTTTGGCGTTGCCCTAAAAAACCTAGGATAGGACCTTTTTCATACTTGTGATTAGAGGGATTTAGAAAAGAGAATGGCTAACATTGATATATAACCTAACAATGAACAATGTAGGAAAATAATTGTTATATGGACTGAAATTATAAATTTAGTGACTTGACTACGAAATCTATGCTCTTGTTGTCTTGTTTGCTTGATTCTTAGGAGTTTTTTGTTAATTCTTGATGCAGGGGACTCTCTGTCTCTAAAAGAGATAGTTGGTAAAAAAATAAGCTCCTCTATGTGTCTTTGTGTGGACTGGAATCCATCAACAACATCTATCTCAGTGGGGCTTTCTGATGGTTCTGTATCTGTAGTGTCCTTTTTAGAGTCCCAGTTAAATGTAATTCAAGAGTGGAAAGCACATGATTTTGAGCTATGGGCTGCATCATTTGACATTCACCAACCTCAGTTGGTATACACTGGTTCAGATGATTGCAAATTCAGTTGTTGGGATTTAAGGGACGGTCCTTTCAATTTGGTGTTTCAGAATTCTAAAGTCCATAAAATGGGTGTCTGTTGCATTGCAAAGAGTCCTAGGGACCCTAATATTTTACTCACCGGTAGTTATGATGAGCATCTAAGGCTATGGGATGTAAGATCAATTTCCAAACCAGTCAATGAAACTTCAGTTTGTCTAGGGGGAGGAGTTTGGAGAGTCAAGTACCACCCATATGTACCAGGCGTGGTCTTAGCAGCTTGCATGCATAATGGCTTTGCAATTGTGAAGATTGATGAGGAGAAAGGAGAAGTGATGGAAACATATACCAAACATGGCTCACTTGCTTACGGTGCAGATTGGCAGAGGGGGAATTTATCTCATAAGGTCAAACAAAACAGCTCTGTAGTGGCTACTTGTTCCTTTTATGATCGGCTTCTTCAAATATGGATACCAGAAAGTAGCGTTGTTAAACAACTTTAATGCATTTAAATATATATATGTGAAATTAATAACTGTGAAATGTATTTTACATTCAGAGAAGAGAAAGGCTGAGAAGTTTTATACTTTCAGTGATATTAATAAAAACGGTATTAATAAGAAATAAATATTTTTTAATATAAATAATTATTTTAAATGAAGAAACATCACGATTTATCTTTCATACTTAAATTATAAATGATTATTTAGGATCAGATATATAATTTTGAAACATGATAATGTTTAAGTTTTTTAAGTCTGGAATGTTTGTCAAATTTATAGTATATTGGGCTGGGCTTAGCTGATTATCAAATTTAAATTTAAGTTTTTTAAGTTTAATATATTTATTAGAATTATTTAATTTAATTTTTTTAATAAATAAAAATCTTAATCAAAACTTAGCCCAATAACTTGCAATAACAACTTAATAGTTTAGTATTTTTTTTTTATTATTGTTTATTCAAAATAGACCTCAGTCAAGCATTTCTTAAACAAGGTTTTAGTGTGATCAATGGTTGCACGGATAGGAGCAACGTGGTAACTTTAGATTTATTGAACCATTTAAAAATTATTATTAATTTCTATAAGCCTATTGTCTCTTTATGGCTCTTCATGGTTGTCGGTGATTTCCTGTCTATCCTTGCTTTATGTGTTATGGTAGCTTTAGCAGATGATGCTTTTGTTGTTGAATGAAAGAGAGATTGTTTCTAAAGATGATCTTTGAATAAGAACAGATCCTTGAATTGAGGTTTGTAAATGTCAAATAATGTAGCTCATAACTTAAAATCATAATCATGTGCTTTTCACTCTTGAATTACATTTAACTAGAATTCTGAAAAGAACATTACAAATAAAAAACCATCAGAAAACCCCACTGAGATAAATGTGGTTGATGGATTCCAGTCTACACAAAGACAAATATAAGAGTTTATTTTTTCACCAACTATCTCTCTTAGAGACAAAGAGTCCCCTCATCAAGAATTAACAAAAAAACTTCTTAAAAACCAAGTAAACAAGACAACAAGAGCATAGATTTCGTAGTCAACACTAAATTTATAATTTAATTTCAGTCCATATAACCATTATTTTCCTACATTGTCCAATTGTTAGGTTTCATAGCAATGTTAACCCTTCCCCTTTCTAAATCTCTCCTATCACAAGTACAAAAAAGGTCATATCCCAGGTTTTTTAGAGTAACGCCAAAAGAGTTTATAAACTTACTATCTTAGTAGTCACCCATGATCTTAACATGTAAGATGAAAATAAAAAGGACCACCATCATTTGTTTATAAGAAAATGCATTCCTAAGGACATGGAAAATTGTAAGATTAACTATACACTAATAACATTATTCATAGGCAAAATTCCCTTTTTCACTCCATATTTTTTAAGAAACAAAACTTCACTCATAAATACGCGCACAGATACTAAACAACTTAAATTTTCAAAATCAAAGTTCTTTTACCTCCATTAGAACAACACTCTAATCCATAAACTCTCAAGTAACCATTAGCATCAGCTTGTGCAAGCAATGGACCCAAATTCCCAACAACAGGACTCCACTTAATGTCAAAAATCCCTATTGTCTCTACACGGTAAAACAACTCAAACCAACCCACATCCGGGTTTACATTGAAAAGTGAAATGCTACCAGTTCGACTCGGCCTATACCTGATACAATCAAAGAATTGATGTCTTATCCCAAGTGCAGGAATGTCAAAGTAATAAATAACCCGGCAAAACTGAGGTTGAACCACAGAGAGGTGAATTATATAAATTACAAATATTGAAATGATTTTTGATGTTAAAGAGAAATTTGAGATGTAATATTTATGTAAGAATTAAATAATGATAAAACAAATATCAAGGTTAGAAGATTCACTAATGGTATTTCAAATAAATATAATATAAACTCTTTTTATTACTCAATTGGAAACCACACATAAGGGAGGTTCCAATCAGATGATTTATCATTATTAGCTCATTATAAAAGTTTATATTATACATATTCTAACATCATCTTCAATGTTATATTTTCAAAAGATAACTTCATCACTCCATTCTTACAATTAATCAATGCATTATAAGTGGAATGCATTAGAAGTTGCAAGAAATGGACGTCCTAAAATAACAGGAATTGAATTGCATGCTTCAACAGGTTGTGTATCCAAGACAATAAAATCCACAGGAAAGATGAATTTATCAACTTGTACTAACACATCTTCAACTATTCCTCTAGGCATTTTTATAGATCTATCAGCAAGTAAAAGAGTAACAGAAGTAGGTTTTAACTCACCGAGATTTAGACTTTGAAAAACCGAATATGGAAGTAAATTCACACTAGCTCCAAGATCAAGTAAAGCTCTGTCAATTTTATGTTCTCCAATAAAGCAAGAAATTGTAGGACAACCAGGGTCTTTATATTTCAAAGCATTATTGTTCTGAAGAATGGCACTTACTTGTTCGGCTAAGAAGGCTTTCTTTTTCACATTCAATTTTCTCTTTACAGTGCATAGATCTTTCAAAAATTTAGCATAAGATGGTACCTGTTTAATAGCATCTAGCAAAGGTATATTAATCCTTACCTGTTTGAAAGTTTCAAAGATTTCAGAATTGTGATTGACTTTCCTTTGTTTGGTCATGACATGAGAAAATAGAAGTACTGGTCGAGAATTAGTCTTTTCTTTACAATGGTCAGGTTCAACCATTTCCTTACCCTTAGTGACTAACTCATCTTCTTTCTCACAAGGTTCTAGAACGGGTTTTTCAATAATCTTACCACTAAAAAGAGTAGTGACTGATTTGACTTGATCCATATGTTAGCTTCCGAAACTGCTTGCACTTGAATTATATTGTCCTTTAGGATTTTGCTGGGGTTGAGATGGAATCTTACCTTTCTTCTGAAAACTGAGAGCAGATCTGAACTTTGCAAGAGTATCTTTCAAATCAACCATAGTTTGAGCATTTTGAGTGTTGATTGTCTCTTGCTTTTCAATGAATACAGGTAATGTTTTCTCAAGATTTCTTATAGGAGGGGGAATATAAGGAGGTGCATATCTATGAGAATTTTGAAAATTATGGTGTGCTTAAAATGGTGGCTGTGAAGTTTGTGCATTATTGTTACCACTCTTCTAACTGAAATTTGGGTGATTTCTCCAACCAGGGTTGTGCGTTTATGAGTATGGGTTATGACTTGGCTTTTGGAAACTATTTAAAGCATTGACTTGTTCATGGAGACATTCCTTAAAAGAAGGTAAAGTTGGACAATTGACACGACTAAAAGATTGATGTCTTCTCCCAAGTGCAGGAGTGTCGAAGTAATAAATAACCCGGCAAGACCGGGTTCGAACCATAGGGAGGTTAATTGTACAAATTATAAACAACAATAGTACAACAACAATAATAATAATAACAACAACAATAATAATGTAATAACAATAATAACAACAACAACAACAACAATAATAATAATAATATTAATAATAATAATAATAAAGAAAGAGAAGAAGAAGAAGATGATGAGAACTTGGAGATGGAAAATTAATGTAAGGATTAAACAATAATAATAACAAATGTCAAGGTTAGAGGTTCCACTAATGGTATGTCAAACAAGTATAGTATAAACTCTTATTATTCAATTGGAAACCACACACAAATGAGGTTCCAATCAGATTATAGATTGTTAACATGATTACATTAGTCATCTTATTCGATTAATGCTAGTACTTGTAAATCTCATCGAGCATTCATGATTATAACTTATGTTAACAACAAATCAAGTTCCTTTCATAGCTCAGATGTCGGTTATACCATACAGTATGAGCTATGAAAGTGCTAAGCATTTGTCGTACCAAGTGTTATACAACATAAATCAAGATTAGTCATTTAACAAACAAAGTATTAAAGAGTGAACAAGATAACAAATACAAAACATGTTAGTATCAAACATTAAAGTTCATATTAAGTTTACACTATACTTATTCTTACACCATTAGTGTAGCCTTTTCACCTTGACATAATAAACTTAGCTAGACATAATGAAAGAAAGAAAAATAAATAAACAAAATAAAAACATAAATAAGATAAAAGTTAACTAAGAAAATGAAAGGAAATGAAAGACATAAACTTGATATTAATGAAAGCAAAGCATAAGCAATATAAAAAATACAAAGAGAGAAAGCAAGAGCATGATCTTGATCTGGACACTAAGATGCCTAAATGCATGGAAAATGCCTCCTTTTATAGGCCAAAATTGATAACTATTGATTTGATGACTAATTGATGAGTGGGTGGCCAACTCTTGACTTGGTGACAATCCTTATCTTCTCTTGTCTGCCCAAAACATCATTGATAACGTCAAAATTAGAGCCACTTAAAATATGACAGTTGTGGGCAATTGTCTCAGCTTTTATGTGTAAAAACTTCAGCTCATTTGGACTTCTAGAACTCCAGATATGGCCAAAATACTGAACAGTGCTCGGGCTGGAGGACAACTTCGGGCTTCTTTATTGTTGCAATAATTTGGACTTGAAAATGGCCTTTTTAGATCTTGGGTTTCATATGAAAGTTGTAGGCCTATGTCTTACCTTTCCATCCATATAAAGTAGACCTAAATATGAGATCTCTAGGTCTAGATATGACCCAATTACAGAACAGTGTTCCGGTTTGGATTGCACCGACATCTCTTTTCTAATTTTGGTCATCTCTTTGCCTTTGCAATTTAAGTTCTTAAAGTCATCAATCAATCCTTTCATTTATGTGATAGGCCTGTATTTAAAATGAACATTTACCACAAATTAAAGGTATCTTATATTATTAGATATATTATTATAAAACATGTTTGAGTTAAAGAGTTATTGATACTTCAAGTGCAAAATGATGATATAAAACCATGATAAAAATGCACTTTTAAGTACTAATCACACCCCCCCCAACCAGCTTATTACTAGTCCCTAGTAATCAAAGCGTTAAAATAGAAAAACAATTTGCAAATTCCACAAAGTAAGGTATTCATCATTGAACTTCCATTAATCTATCCAGATAAAAACTTCCATTAATCGTATTCATCATTTAACTTCCATTAGTCTATCCAGATAAACAAACTCTCATTAAATTTATATATCTGCTCAATACCTCTTAACAAGATATTCATAAACCTTTGTTTTGTGCTCAATGTATCAACACATAATTATGGGGCTTTTCTTGGAAGAAAACAAAATTTTTGTTCTAATGTTTAAGGTTAACTTCCTTGGGTTGGGATTATTATTTTTGTCTTCTTTTTTTTTTGTTTTTTTTAAATATATATACATATAATTTAAAAACACCATGCATCTTTAACCCATATAACAAGCGTTCAGCTAATGACTCCCAGACCAGTTGGTCTTAAGGCATTAGGTGTTCAGACACCCCTACGAGCTTAATAACTCGAGCCGCAGATACTGATATGTAAATAGTGCAATGTTTGATTCCCTTAAGCTTTTGTCCTCAACCCATGTAACAAGCGTTGGGCCAATAGCTCCCAAGTTACTTGACTTTAGGGTATTAGGTGTTAAAACATCCCTTCGGGCTTAATTGCTTAGGTTAGGGAGGCTACAAAACCAAACTTATCTACATTTTTATTATCATCATTTTTTTTTCTTTTTTTTCTTTTTTTTTCTTTTTTTTACTTATATACTATCCATTTTCCTTAGGTGTTACCTTTAACAAAAGAACATAAATAATGTAATAATCCACTATGCAACCCACAATCATATGTTAAAGTGTGTGTGTAAATTAAGGTTTAAGAATACATGTTAAATAAGTATATGAGCAGAATTAAGTGATAACAATGCGAGAGTATAGAAGATAGCACATGCTTTATGAAATAGAAAACATTTTTTTATTTATCAACTAATACCCTCTCCCCCCAACCAAAACGAGACATTGTCCTCAATGTTCTAAGGTGGAAAGATAGAGTATAGAAGATATCACCTGAAATAACGAACATTGACAAACCTGAAACACACTTAAACAAAAATAAGAAATAACAAAACACAATAATAAAACAAAAAGACACAAAAATTCACAAATGAAGACTCAAATCCAATCTAAGCTTTTTATGGCTTTCCTTAGTTGACCAATTTATGCGACTCATGGAAGGATCAATTACAGGAATGAAAGATTGTAGTTGGTCAATCAATTGTTCAGCAATAACAGTAGAGATTATGATTTGTCGTGCAGAAGATGTTAGAAATTCCTGTTCCACAGCATGATCAAGAAAAGACAACAACTTATCATAATAACCATTAACATTTAACAAACCTATGGGTTTATAGTGAATGTGCAGTTGGGCCCAAAAGGAAATACGAAAGATCTCTTCCAATGTGCCTAGACCACCTGGTAAAGCAATGCAGGCATCAACATGGTTAAACATTGCATTCATTCGAGCTGACATTGTGGAGACCTGAAGTTCCTCTCCAATTGTTTTTCCAATGATGTCCCCTTGTGCTAAAGCTTCGGGGACAACCCCCAAAACTTGACTACCTCCTAAAA